GCACCGGAGGAATCACGTGCAAAGACATCGAGACGATCATCAGCACCCACAATACACTCCGGCAGAAGCTTTCCATGGGCCAGGTGCGCAACCAGCCGCCTGCGCTGAACATGAGGGCTATGGTACGTGTTTCGATGGTTCTGTTCTGCTGGGGGTCTAGGTTGGTTGGTTGGTTGGTTTTGGGTGTCTGTTTTTTTTAGGTATTTCTGGGTTGTTTGGGTGATATTTTTGTTTTGTTTTGTTTTGTTTTCTCGTTTTATTTTTTCTCTTTTTTTCTCTCTCTCTTGGTCTCATTCTCTCTCTCTCTCTCTCTCTCTCTCTATATATATATATATATATATATATATATATATATACATATATCTGTCTCTGGTTTGGATGATTTTTCATTCCATTTCGTATTTTTTCTGTTTATATGTTTTGATGTATGTCCTTCCTGTGCTATATCTACTATATATTTTTTTCGTGTTTGTGGCATCTGCGTCTGAACTCAAAAACGAAATCGAAATTGAAGAAAAAGAGGACAAGCATGCAGAAACAAAATCCTTCTTAATTATTACTCAAACCTGGTCATCATATCTAACCTCAAAACAATAACAAAAACAAGAGAAAACAAAAAATCAAGACAATAACAAAACCAACAATAAGCAAGACAAAACAACAAAATCACGACTATAACAAGTAACAAAAACAACAGCAGTAACTAACAACAAAACAATAACAAAAGCAATAAAATAACATACAACAAAACAATAACAAAAACAAAACAAAAACAAAAGCAAAATAAAACAATAACTAACAATAAAACAATAAAAAACAAACAAACAAAACAAAACCAACAATAAAAAAAAACAATATATAAAAAAAGTCAAGAACATTTTCAAAACAGCGACGAAGATGAGATTTATGTAAGAAAATAAATAAACAGAAAATAAAAGTGCAGGCGAAAGCAGGTCCCCTTGTGGTCGGTGATTCAGCCTCTGATATCCCTGGCAACAGCTGGCATCTGGCATCTCCTCGCGTGTGGAGGGAGGGGGGAGGGGGGAGGGGGATGTGTCGAAAGGAGGGGGGAAGGGGGGTGTTGAAGGGAGGGAGGGAGGGGGGATGGGGAAGTGTTGGAGGGGAGTGGGTAGGGTTGGGTAGGGGATGGGGGGTAGGGTGGGGGGATGGGATGAAACTGGAGGGAAGTAGGTAAGGGGAGAGGTAGGGGAGGGAGACAGGGTAGGGGAAGTGTTGAAGGGAGGTGGGTAGGGTGGGGGAGGTGGGGTATGCGTTGAAGGGAAGTAGAGAGTGGGGTAAGGGAGGGGAAGTGGGTAAGGAAGGGGGGAGAGGGGAGGCTTATAGTTTCTCCTGTAGTTCTGTAGATTTTTTATATCTTATTTTGTTTATTAAACTTTTTGGATTTTTTATGTATTTATTCGTATTGCACGTTTCCTTGTTTTTTCCCTTGTTTTTTTTATTTATTGATCTATTTATTTGTATTCTTTCAAAATTCCATCTATTTTTCTTCTCTTTTTATAGTCTGGAACTTCATTTTGATTCGATTTTTTGTTCATTATATTTTATGTTATTTCTCCTTTCTTCTTTTTGTGGAATTTCTTTTATGTTTTCACTTTTTTTATGTATATATTCTTTCTTATTCTTTTTTTGTTTTCATTTTCAGTTTTTTTCTTTGTCTCATTGTCTCATTTTTTTATGAATTAATCAATTTATTTTTGTTTACGATCTTTTTACATTCACCTATTTTTTTTTCTTATTTCAAATTCTAACTTATCTCTCTCTCTTCCTCTTCTTCTTTTTCTGGTTCTTCGTTTACCTTCACTCTTCTTTTCCTTCTCCCTCCTCCTCGTTTCGTTTTCTCCTTCCACGTCTTTTCTTCTATTTCTCCCTTTTTATCACTCTCTACTTCCTTCCTTCCTTCCGTCTTTGCGTTGATTTCTTATCTTTCTTATCTTTCCTCTCTTCCTTTTCCCTTCTTTTCCTCCTCTTTCACTCTTCTTCCACATCATCTCTTCTATTTCTTCTTTTTTATCAATTTTCGTTCAATTCCTCCCTTCATTCTTTCTTTTCATTCTTCTTTTCTCACTCTTCACCCTTCTCCTCTTCCTCTTCCTCTAATCTTCCACTTCCTTCCTCCCTTCCTCGCCTCCTCACTATCAATTCATTCACCATTTTTGCGTCACCATCTTCTAAAATCTTCTAAAATTCCATCACATCTCTATCCTTACTTGGGCTTTCTGTGATAACACGTTCACCATCTTTCGAGTCACCATCCCGTCACTCAGAGTCACTGTCATTAGCGAGAGCCCCTCATCGATGCCAGGCTAAACCAGGAGCAATACCCTCACTATCCTTAAAGCGTCTGTCACGGCGTCACAACCATAGTGTCACATCCAGTGTCACAACCACGAAATCACAATCACAACGTCACAACCACAGTGTCACAACGTTACACCCACGCCATCACAACCACAACATCACAACCACAGTGTCACAACCAGTGTCACAACCACAACATCACAATCAGCATCACAGCGTCACAGCCAGTGCCACAACCCCCATCATCACAACCATACCATCACAACCCCACTATCACAACCACCGCGTCACAACCAGATTACAACCACAATACAACCAAAGCGTCGCTCTCAGCAGCAGACAAATCACGGTCCAACACAAGGTTGAAGGGGGTGTTTTGCATTCCACTGCAAATCTCTCTCTTCATCTTTATTCTCTCATTTATTGCTTCTCTCTTTTCTTCTTTCCTGCTATTTCTCTTCTTCCTTTCCTGTTGTCTCGTTTCAACATTCGTCTTTCTCTTCTCCTTCTCTCATTTTCTCTTTTTTCTCTTTTTTTCTTTCGTATCTCTGCAATATTTATCTGTCTTTCCTCATTTTCCTCTTCTGTCTTTCCTTGTTTCTCCTGTTCCTTTACTGTCATTTCTTTTCAACATTCGTCTCTCTCCTCTCATCTCTCCTTCTCCTTTTTTGTCATCTCTTTTCTCTCTTCTCTCCTTCTTCTCTACCACATCTCAGCTTTCTTTCTCCTTTCTTGTCTCTCTGTTCTCTTTTTTTCCTTCTTCTCTCTCTTCTCTTCTTTTCCTTTCTTATCTCTCTCTTACCTTCTTCTCATTTCTTCTCTCTCTTCTCCACTTTTCCTCTCTTGTCATCTCTCTTCTCTCCTTCTCCTTCTCTACCACATTTCTTGAACATTCCTCTCTCTCTCCTCTTGTCTCTCTTCTCCTTTTCTCTCCTCTCATCTCTCCTTCTCCTTTCTTGTCATCTCTCTTCTCTCTTCTCTCTTTCTCCACTTCCACATTCCTCTCTCTCCTCTTATCTCTCCTTCTCCTTTCTTATCCTCTCTTTTCTCTCTTCTCTCCTCGTCTCTCTCCTTCTCCTTTCTTATCCTCTCTTTTCTCTCTTCTCTCCTCTTCTCTTCTCTCTCCTTCTCCTTTCCTACCACATCTCTTCTCTCTTCTCTCCTCTTCTCTCTCCTTCTCCTTTCCTACCTAATGTACGAAGAGAATCCGCCGCCGAGAGTCCTTGTCGATAGATAATGTTTATCTTATCGGAGTCGATAACCGAGGCGTCGGAGGAGCGAGTCTGTTGCTCGGGTGGTATTTTAAGAGGGGGGGGGGGGAGAGAGAAGGAAGGGAGGGAAGGTAGGGGGGAGGGGAGGAAGGGAGGGTAGGAGAGAGGGGGAGTGGGGAGGGAAAGAGGGGAGGTCGTCCATTCTTTAACTTGTTTTATTTTTTGTGTTTCTTTGGTCCTTAAAATAAATAAATAAATAAACGAATGAATTCACAGGAAACAAATAAACAAGCCAATACAAACGTTAAAAAAGACATTTATCTTTTTTCTTTCTTTCTCTCAATTTTCTTTTTCTCATTTTGAATGTTAAAAGACATTCATATTTCTCTTTATTTTTGTATATCTTTTTCTTTCTTTCTTTTTCTTTTTCTTTTTTTACTGTCTCGTTTTGAATGCTCTCGGAAATCTTGTCTCGGATTTCCTTTCGTATTTCAAATCTCTTTCCTTTTTTCTGTTCGTCTGTTTGTGTATCAACATCTTTCTCCTCCAATCTCCTCCTCTTCCTCCTTTCTGTAAACATCAGTAAAACCATAAATATTTTTTTTTTCTCTTTATAGTCTCTTAATAACTATCGGCCATTTATTCTTATTTATCTTTGTTTATTTATTTTTATTTATTTATATATTTTTAACTTTACATATTCATTCACTGAACTTTTATATCTTCGATCCTTCATCCTACTGTCCGTGTTTTATAAATATTTCTTTAAAAAAGTTACTTTTTTCTTCGAAATAAGAAGACAAAACGAGAGAGAGAGAGAGAGAGAGAGAGAGAGAGAGAGAGAGAGAGAGAGAGAGAGAGAGTTTCTCACTCACTCTCTCTCTCTCTCTCTCTCTCTCTCTCTCTCTCTCTCTCTCTCTCTCTCTCTCTCTCTCTCTCTCTCTCTCTCTCTCTCTCTCTCTCTCTCCAAACGCTATCGCCCCCTTCTCCCCCCTCCCCCCCTTACTTAGTAGGGCGCCGGAAGAATGCTATGAAGCTATCTCGCCCCCCTCGCCAAGCGCACTGCAAACGATAGTCAACCGTATAGACGAATCGATCAAGGGTGGGTTTCGCGTGCCATTCGAGGGGTGGGGGGGCGGCAGATTAACACCTTGCTGTGCCAGTTGACTCTGCAATTTTGCTGGTAGAGCGTGCCCAGGCTAACGAGATTTCCATGTTTAATGTCCCAGTTTAATGTTAACAGCGACTGGCGGAGAGATACCATCCCTCATGGTCTTCTCCTGCGTCGGATGCTGGCGATGCTCACGGCCCCCTCGGTGGCTCTGGGCTGTCTGTCTGTCTGTCGGTGTTTTGTTTTTTGTTTGTCTGTTTGTCTGTCTGTCTGTCTGTCGGTGTTTTTTTTCTGTTTGTCTCTTTCTGTCTGGCTTTGTGTCTGTCTGTCTGTCTGGCTTTATTTCTCTCTCTCTCTGGCTGTCTGTCTGTCTGTCTCTGTCTCTCTGTCTCTCTCTCTCTCTCTCTCTCTCTCTCTCTCTCTCTCTCTCTCTCTCTCTCTCTCTCTCTCTCTCTCTCTCTCTCTCTCTCTCTCTCTCTCT